GGTGGGGAAGGGCCCTGTGCGCTCCCTTAGGTCTTCAAAGGTCCATGCTGCCTGCTTCGCCGCTGGAACGGGCGGAGCCGCCTGCAGAGCCGGGGTGGTTGAGGCGGTTTCACTTTGGCGTTGTTTCCCTGGAACTGAGCATGTGAAAGCGCCTTTACGGGACGGTGTGTTGCTTGGGACAGCCCATAACTTTGGCTCGGTTTGGAATCGAAACTTTTGCTGTTGTGCTGAGAGTCCAGAGCTTTTTTATGTTTAGTGGGAGTTGAATAAAGAATGACCTTGTGTTATGGGTTCAAGCCATTTTCTTTCTAGTTTACCATTTATTTCATTAAATGTCAAATGCCTGTGGAGAATCTGCTTTGGGACATACTTGTTCCTGGCAGAAAAACATGACAAACTACAGGCATCCAGATGTGAGTAAGTCAAAAGGGTTCATTTGTCCCACAAATTGGTTTTTTAGGCCTAACTTTTCTCCTGTAGGTTGTGCTGGTGCCAGGAGTTACCAGCAGGTTGGCTGGCTGCCTCCGGTGAGATCTGGTGTGGTACATTGCCAGGTGGAAGTCTGCCGTGGCAGCAAGCTGAGGGGTTCATCTGTGGTGAAGGAGCCAGGTGGCCTGATCTGCTGTGTTCATCTGATTGGAGTCGGAGCGATCCAAGCAGGTGTAACTGCAGAACGAGTTAGAAGGCAGCACTGATGTGGTGAAGAAGATAATTCAAATGTGGTCCATCCTTTGAAGGCAGTGACATCCTCATCTAGGCTTGCTTAAAAACAGGCAAAGTGAGAAACATCTCATGGAGAGCCAACCTTGTGATACCACTTGTTGGGAGAAATGTATTGAATTTTTGATGACTGTAACAATCATTTGTAGCTATATAAACATCTGCATTTCTTTGAAGTGAATTTACACAAGACACAGAAACAGCTAAAGAAGGTGAGGTCGCTGATTACTGCCAGTCATACATGCGCGAACAAGTTAACACTGAGGAAGGAGACGGTGATGATGATGATGATGAAGACGACTGGGACTGGGATGATGAGGTGGGAAGACTCATGAGGCGCCACAATGTTGCTGGTGGATGTAATCCACAGGTACGTTGAAGGGTGTTTTGTGAGCATCAAGGGTACCTGAGATCAAATGGGGTTAACCCGGTGGCTTTGTTCTGTTAAGCTGAGCATAAATGCAAATGCAAATTTTTCCTTGAGAGAATCCCCTTCCTTTGAGTCTGCTCCTCTGCCATGCCGTGTGTGTATGTGTGTTGTAGGCAGAGCTCTGCTTGGTTTCCTCGTCTTTGTTGCTGGATTCTCTTTGTCACCACAGTTTTCCTTCTGTTCCTTAGCTTTCTCAGCCTTTCTTGCTTTGCCCAACCCGATCTCTACTGATGTTGCTTACTTTAAGGTATTTGTCCTCTGTGGTTTTGAGCATCTTCTCATCTTTTCTATTTAATTTTGAGACTGTACCTGCTTGCCACGCGCAGGGTGAAACAGGTTATGTTTTGGACAAACAGTGAAGGAAGCAAAAGAAAGCATAGGAGACGGAGGAAGGTGCTAGAAGTGGATTAATTTAGAGTGTGCTGTTGGCATAGAAACTCTGGCAATGTGAAAACTAGCTTCCTTCTTTCCCTCAGCCTGGACGCTGGAAGTTCAAAACCTCTTTTTCTTACCGATACCAACGCAACAGAATAGTTGAGATAAATTAGAGTGCTGATCATGGCACATCATGTCTGACTCTCAGCACTTGTCTTGTCTTCATTTAGCAGTTTATGCTGTCCAGTGTTAGTGAAATCATGTTCAGATATTAATTGTGTTTGGAGAAAACCTGTAAGAAAAGTATAATCTTGAAAACTTTTACCTGTTCATTACCTGCTTATTTTTTCTATCATTTTTTTTCCTTGTTTCTGTCTGCTATTTCTCTCGCTTTTACAGATGGAAAAAGCTCAATTCCAAGACTAAAAATAACCATGAATTGGGGCACTTCTTGGAATCTTAACTGATGTGCCACCTGTATTTTCTTTTCTTGAATTAAGTAAAATCTGATGTTAATTCATATCCCTTTCTGGTTTTCTATTTCTAGCTCTAGGCATAGCCATTTGAGCTGACTTTTCCAATGATATTGTTTGTATTTTAAAGAGCTGTTTGGAGAAGGCAACTGATATTAACAAATCCTTTGTTTCAGGCAAATAGACAGACCCCTAGCTGCTATTCAGCAAAAATGTCTACCCCTACAGACAAGGCTTTAAGGAAATTTGAACATAAAATTAACTTAGGTGAGTATAATTGCATTGCCTTCTTTTACGAAAACAGACATCGCTCTGTGACGTTCTCAGACGAATTCTGTTGAAGTCAGAACTTTCTGGAATAGCAGTTAACCATTGCCAGATGGATTAAAAAAATGGCATTTGTGTACTTGAAGTTGCCTTTAGTTTCCATTAACCAGTTGTCATACCCCTTTCTCTCCCCTTTCACAGCCATGGGGCTGTTTTGTTTTGCTTTTGCCCC